TGGAGTGGATATTTCCTTGAATAAATGTGGTTTTGAAAGGCTCTCATTGCTGTTCACGCTTGCTTATGACCTCGTGTAAACTTAGACCCTTGGTCCATTTGTGATTGACGGTAGCATTAGATATCGGTTCTGTTTTATATTCCGTACACTGTAAAAAAAGTTTAGCATTTGGGGTACTAACGGCTGCTATTCGTAGCACCTTTTAGCGTCAAAAGAACCCTACGACGTATTTACAAAGAAGCATGGTGCTAATACTGTGCTAATGATAGCTAACATTCCCATCAAATATTATAAGTTTAGATCACCTATTCCTCTACTGAGCTTAACGTCTACTTCTGCTAGTACCCAGTCCATCAGTGAGTGCTCTTTCAAGCTGGATTTCTAATTAGAACCATTTTAAGTGTTTTAGAAGTTGGTAATGCTGAATATGGTGCTTACGTTAGTATCACAATAGAACCGGACATGCTTACAGAGGAAACAAATTTGAAATTGGCGCCAAAGAAAGTAGCTAAGCCCTGCTTTACAAATCTCTGGGAGTCTTATCACCAGCCCTTTAGCACGTTTTGACGGCGCAGAGCGATATGCGCATGCGCGTGCCAGCTGTTTCCGGCCACGTGTTGCGCCATTTTAGTGGAGTCCGTTGGTCGTGGTGGGAGTGTGTGCACGTGCTCCGGTATATGGAGTGAAATGAAGTGAAGTGAAGTGCTCCGGGCACATGCCACCGAGTGATAGCTCTGGAATGATAGCTTAAATCAGCTATCGGTGGAATCCGTCGTGCGTGGCATGGGAGTGCGTGCCCCTGCTCCGGGAGGCAGTGAGGTGGAGGGAAGTGCAGTGCAGCAGTGCAGTGAAGTGAAGTGAAGTGCTTCGGGGCCGGGTGGTACATGAGCATTTGTCACCGACACATGCCACCGACACCGACGTTGATCGACTTTGGTGAGTCTGACACGTTGTATCTTTTGACATTATCTTATATTGTTTAAGTGCTTCATATTCCGACTTTGGCAAATCGCGCTTCTTGGTCTGAAGGAAAGTTGTGTTGTTTGCGAAAATAGCTCCCAACAGAAAAAAATCTTGGAACTGATCCAGCTTTTTTTTTTGCTCCAGGCATGGGGCCTGGTCAGTTCTTCCGTCGACTACCACTTACAATGGAGGACAACTACGACAACAACACGGGGTCTCCGGTTCCGTCTATCACTAAACGCCGTCTGGTCGTGGATGAGGTCGAACTTATGGCCATGAACGGAACGTCGGTTCAACGAACCCCCCCCCCCCCCTCACCCAGTCGATCTCGCGTTAATCGTCGGTCACTGCGAGTGTGCAGGTATATGAGCGACCTTTCGTTATTTCCCGTGCGTTTGTTTGTGTATATATTTACATTTGTTTTTCATGCAGATGATACGAAGTGTTAATAAATGTTCCATTATTATTTTTTAATTTTATAATGTGTTGGATGCTTGAAAGATGCACTTACACGGGAATATTGCAGAATGCAAAACACAATCATTGAGACTTGTAGTTATCACTTATCTAGGATATAACCTTTTTTGCACGTCTTTTCGGCCTTACACAATTTCCTTTTTGGTAATTGATTAGTCCTTTTTGCAGTAACTAGTGAAAGTATGTGCTGCTAAAGAAAGCAGTTTTTGCGAACTTTTCATGCAGCAGCTTTAACTAGTATAGATATTCTACTTTCAGCCCCAATGCTTTCGTTAGCATTATTCTACTTGTCGTGGGGTAACAATAGCGCTAAAACGGTTCATATGTGAGTACGGAAGGTACTAACTGCATGCTATTCTTAGCACCTTTTAAAGTTTAGCACCGCTAGGGTACTGAAAATTGGTCTAGCAGGTGTAGGGTACTACATTTAGTACACGGGTGCTAAACAAATATGGGTACTTATATTAGCACCTTGATACTAAACTAGATCTCAGTTAAGTACGAATAAAATGCTTAGCTTAGCACCGCTAGGGTACTGAAAATTAGTCAATTGAAAAGTACCTCTATGGTGCTAAACTTTTTTTACAGTGTATGTGGTATGATGTGAAAGAGCCACACATTTTCGTCATTGGATCCCGAAAGTTATGTGATAGCCGGCTGAATCGGGACGTTTTGTAGTTCAGAATAGTTGAAGTTCAAAATCCTCTCGCACCAATACTTGGATTTTATTTCACTGGACATTGGCCAACCACTCTGTGACTACCGTAACAATTTACCTATAAATTCCACCAAACACCTGTTGAGTGTAGGTGTACGTTATGAGCTGGTGCAAAAGAATTTAACACCATTAGATGAGCTGACTTTGACAAAAGTTTTCTGATTCTACCCAGCTAGGTATTTTGGTGCAAGAGGCCTCAGTACTTACCGGCAGAGGCCTCAGTACTTACCGGCCGCCACCAGAGAAGTGCCGGTGGCGAGGATCAGCACGGCCAGTAGCGTCCGCGGGGTCATTCTGGAGGCGCGATGGCGATCTCTGGCTCCTGTCTCGGGTCCGTTCGACCGGCCGCTCACGTTCTGTGCAAGACGATGTGCGGAGTTCGGCGTACCAGCCCTCCAATGGGGTCCCGACCGATCGTCTTTGGGTGCCTTTGGGAGAACGCCTATTAGTGGTTCTGTTCGCTCTTCTGACTGTCAGTGCCAGATTATTCGGCTTTGGCTGGATGAGTTTTTAGAATTTGACCGTCCTTCTTCAGTCAGAAATGATTAGTCCTCACTCTGTGACTACCCGCCGTCAGTCCGCGACTGTTTGTCGTCAGTCACCGACTTCCCACCGTCAGTCACCACGGTCAGTCGTCTTTCCGCGACCTGGCCGAACGGCGACCGACCGACGACTGTTGACCGGAGGGCAGCCACAGGCCAGTAGTGGTCGCTGGTCAGCGGCGTCTTGACTAGTCGGGCTGGTTACCCAGTTGATCAGGGGCAGTCATTATTCCTGTGTCCAAGACTGCTTACGGAAGCCAAAGGAATTAGTTGGTTTCGCTTTTTTAACGAAGTGAAATGTATTCGGTTAACATGTCACACGTGTATAGAACTTTAAATGGCTGGCTACTAAAGCTCTTTGATGAATGGGGTCAGCACCATGAAATTTAGCTCAAGTATTTTGCATCGATTTTGGGCATTTTCGGAGAAGTCAATGCTATGATAAGTGGCATAGATAAGGCTCATTTAAGAGACGTAAGATGATGGGAGCTGGGGCTGGTTTGATAATAAAAATGCATTAAAAACAAACCAAAAAACTTGACTCGTCTTTATTAAAGCGGAAGAATCGTTGATGAATGGTATTATACGGAAAACGTAGGCTATCATAGGCAAAGGCATGCCTGGGAGGTTTCTTAGTACCAAGATCCTTCTATTTGGATCGAACCCCATTGCGATGTTTGAGGCCTGTTTTTTATCGCTCATGACACGAAATATCTTCTGTAAAGGTATCCAGTATCCATGGCACCTCTTCACTGATGTTGAACGTTGCAGCTCCTTTATTCTAAGCAGATCTTCTGATCAGCTATCCAGCACTGAAGTTGAAGACAATGTGACTGCCGTTGCCGAAAGCCATTAGCTGATGCCTGCGCCCGCCAGTCTCCGATGCTCCTTTCCATCAGACGAGAGCGGTGGTCGAGCGGAGCACTGGCGCCTGTGCCTCTGGGATGAGACTTTTGCGGGGCTGGCTGGCTGATGCTGTCGAAGATGGCTGCACCCTTGCTGCCGACACACGACGCTTTGAGCTGGAAACGCGCACAGTGCCGTCGATCTCCTCGTCGACCTTCGGGTACACCATTGGCACGTTGTGTTGTTTCGGCGTGCACATGTATACCACAGCAGCGATGAGCAGAGTGACCACACCGCAGATGATCAGCAGTGGTCCGAGAAGCTTGACGGGATATCCGTAGTAACCCACAGCGATGCTCCGATCGCTTTCGAATCCAACTAAGGTCGTGTAGGCCAACAGTGTTATGATGGACCCAAAAGTTGCGAAGATCAGTCCAGTAGGTGTCAGCATCACGGCAATAACAGAAGAATCGTAGTTGTCCTCCGGTTCCGGTGCTTTGATTACCATGGATGGGATTGCTTTGAAGGATTGAGAAGGACGAAATCCGGCTGTTGTTGACTTTCGGATAACCATGGAGGAGGGATTGATTGCTTCTGCGGAGAGTCCGTCCGTGACCGAGCCATCCAAGCTATCTTTTTCTTCCTGTGGCACTGGTTCTGGCTCATCTTCAGGGCCATATATAAAACTGACCACATAGTCATAGGCTGAATTCATACCTGCTTTGTGGTTTGACCTTGATGATACAACTTAACACTTGAAATGCTTCTTCACTGAAGGCGTACCAAAATGCTTTTGCGATAGCACAGGCTCAATTTGTGGAGTTTTGTCTCGCGATTTCGTATCTCCGACATTAACACCTACACCAAACGTCGCTGAGGGCCGTGGCCATCTAGACCCTGAATCAACTGTGGATATATGACTTGGTTGATATATGACCCAAGCTATTTAAAACCAATGAAATGCCCTTAAATTGACTTGATGAAATACGAAGCCCAAGCTCGAGAAGCTAAATGTCAAGGCCGTATAAGTTAATCATAGGCAAAGGCAGGCAAAGGCTAAATGTAAAGCACCGAAGAAATGGTGGAAAAGTTGTATTTTGCACGTGGCATAAAGAACACGGATCTTATACAGAATGCGTTTGCGATATTCATCACATCTTTTCATGTACAAAATAAAGTTTTGTATTTAAAAGAGTGCCCATTTACATACCTAAATGTCACTTCTTTCACCTCTATGCCTACTGGGCTATAAGAACGGCTTCATTTGAAGCTAGGACTGGTTTCCATTCTTGCTGGACGATGGCCCACGAACAGTGTCCAGGACCAAAACAATGCATAGAGGTCTGGGTCGTGTCGACAGAGTCGGTATCTCTGCCGATGTGTGCTGTGTGTCGGTACCTGCTGATACGTGCTGAGGCGAAATATCTCACGCTGTTCTCTCTCTCTGTCCACAGAGGCGCGCGCGCATGGTGCCGGCTACTTTGCGTTCTCGCAGGACGCCGACGAGCGCGCTCGCCAGAGAGCTGAGCTCGACGAGCTGCGAGGTCAAACAGAGAGCCAGCAGACCCGCGCCGAGCTCGCGCGCAAACGCAAAAACAAACAGCTCAAGGAGAGACTGCGCAAAGTGCGCGAACGCAAACGGCTTCGCCTGGGCCTGCCCATCGAAGGTGAGAGGTTGATATGAATATTCAGTATTGATATGTTGTTATTGAGCTTGGACGGTTTTTTATATACAAATTATTTATAAATCACTCACAGCTTTAGTTTTTATTGGTAGGTTTCGGGAGCGTTGCATGCTAGGAAATTAAATTTGAACGTTTTCAATTAGGCAACGTATGTACAGTCCACAGCAGAAGTAATGTGGGGTTTCAGTCATGGGCATGTTCTGCTTCTGAAGCTTAGGAACGATTAGCCAGACTACAATGAAACTTTGAATGTAGCTTATATGTATCGTCACCCTTGCAGCTGAAACTTTAGCTATTGACATCTTCTTTTCGATCACTCCGCATTAAACAATCGCCAGTCAAAGCCAACCGTTGAGATTGGTAAAACCCTACTTTACTTTAGCGGTGGGCTGTACAAGAGGAATTCAAAACGCCCCACTATTTTCAAGCGGTGCAGAGTGCAGACATTTTTCAATAAAAATTTGAATTCGAGTGTGCAATTAAGTTCTCTTTGGGGGGGGGGAGCAGGATAAAACTGCTGTAAAAAAGCATTTTATAGATGAATAGCCATTTCTTAAATCGGAATGACTTGCCCAAGTAAGTAAATCGTGCATTCACATTCAAATGCGCCGGTTTGGTTTCATCCAATCAGTCAATGGGGTCTTGCTTCTTTGCATCGAGCACATAGACATTCCTTGCCCTCACCGCGTGTCCTGTTTTGCAAACACGGTCGTTTCATACTTCATGTATCATCAAAACAGCAGTGATTGCTAGAATCTGAAACGACGTAACTGCATGACATCGAGCAAAAGTTGAATTGATTGGTGCACTATCGTTGATGAAAAATCACGTAATGTTCTTTTCATTTAATTATAAAAATGAGTATAAATGACCGTTGGTCCCGCTGGTGGGGTGTGAAACCACACATTAGTCGGCTCATTGTGAGTAAGCTAAATATATTGCTGCAGCCAAGGCGTTGCAGCCTTCTGCCTTCCATTATTTCATTCGTGTTTGGGTAGCATTCATTTAATGTAATTTGCTCTCGCCAACCAAAAGTACTGAACATTGTGTTTGCACCGTCGCGCCCTTATTATTATTATTATTATTATTATTATAATTATAATTATTATTATTATTATTATTATTATTATTATTATTATTATTATTACCAGTGCCCGTAGGCCATTTTTCACGCTTCGATCAATGCGTGTACTGTGTTCGAACTCATCAAGGGTGGAATGTTTTCGCTTTCAACATGTTCCGATAAATCGGCGCATAGCTCGTAAAGCAATACAGCTAAAGCGTCGCGTGGGGAAAAGTGCATTCGGAAGTTTTTTGAGCTAATTTAGCTTTTTGCGTTTCGCCTGCCCCTCATTTGACATAAGGTCAGCGGCCTGATTTCCAGAGGACTAAAACGTCATGTGCCAAAAGCTATGCCAAGATTCGCGTGGTTTACCATTCACATGTGAAAAGAAACTCGAAAGTGGCCGAAAACCGAGAGTGGCCGAATACACGTTCCCTCTCCCAGGGCGAAAGTTATAACATTGCGACATATATTCCAATTCTTTGAATTAGCCCTTTTCCCGGCGTCCTGTCCTTTTTACATTAATGTTACTGAAAGCGAAAATGGTTTCGTGACATGCGAGTGCTTTTTGGTTTTGCTATAAAATGAAAATAATCTGTAGGATAAAGATCCGCTACTGAGTCGTTCGGGCAATGTAATGTCAGCTCAGATTCAGTGCTGATCCGCTGATGACTGTCTGATATAATTGTGTGTTTGTTTCCCGCAGACCGTCTGGAGAAGGCCGATGACTCTGAGGAGGACGCGGCCGAGTCGGAGTCCGCACCGACTCCGGCCGCCGCCGCCGCGCTGACTCCGGAGCAGATCGCCGAACGGCTCCAGGAGGAGCGCAGGGAGTACGAGCGGAAGGCGTTCGTGCGCGACTGGGACCGCGGCAAACAGGGAGTCGCCAAACACAGCGGTGAGTGGGGCCGCGAAGACAATGTCGTGTTGTTTGTCTCGGCCAGAAACGGTGGCCGGTGCCTGTTTCGACTGACAACAGCACGTCAGCTGAATCGGTGAAAGGTCTTAAAGTAAGAGAATTTTTCATTCTTGTGAGAAATATTAATTCATTGTTAGCAAAATAAGTGTTCAACAAAGGAATTTGGGATGCGACATATCCACGAGTAACGAAACTGTTTGAGTGTGACAGTCATGTCGATTGTGGAGAGTAGACTGAAAGGGATAGAAGAAAGATGCTATCTCGTTAAATCCTGTGTTGCACTTCAGCAGAATGGTATGGTGGATCATTTTTGCTCATACAGTTAGTCACGTTTATTACCCCGTTTTAGTAGCATCAGTGAGCAGTTTTCCTTACGTGAAGCATTCTTCGCGTGCATCGTGCATTTCCAGCCACGATTATTGCCGTCTTATTACCCCAGCTGAACCGCCCACCGCCCTGTTCAATGTTCAATCGATTTCTAACTCTGGCCACGTGGTACACCTAACGAGCAGTGAGCACCCGCCCCTTACTAGCGAATCGGACACCGAAAGTGATCGGCCCGGGCTCAGATTCTTATTAGCCGTGTTTGTTGTCGCCCGTATCCAGGCGCGGATCCTATTGACCGGGCGGTAGTGATAACTTTGTGCTAACGCCCGGTCAAACAACGGACGACACCGGCCAGTAGCGTAATGCAATCACCATCAACCCGGACGCGCGCCATCGGTTCACGTTTCGATTGCACAATGCGCTGTCCGCCCGCTGCCACCTAGACTGTTTTTACGGGCGCAGCCTGCGTCATCAGACACCGCCAACGCCAATTCATAGTGCTTTTGTGATACATGAGCCTAGTTTTTATTGCAGGTTTAATAATGATATGGGTTTTGCCAGAGTGTGACAATATTGGCCCCTGCGCGTCATCTATCTGTGCTGGCCTTGTGTTATGTCTCTGGACAGAACTGAATTGAACCCTGACAACTGAATCCTGACAGAACTGAATCCTGTTGTAAAACATACATACAGAGGCGCAACCAAGGGGGGGGGCACACTGGGCATTTGCCCCCTCCGTCAGCTTTGAAGGCGCCCTCGAGGCAAATGCCGCCCCTGCGCACGAAAAGGATTTGCAGGCGCCGAAGGCGCCTGCAAATCCTTTTAGAATTTAGAATGTGAGCATGCAGTCTACTAAAGTGTCATGCCGCCCTCAGAAAGAACAAGGCCGCCCGCTGAGGTGTTTTACCGCCCTCCACCGGTTTACATGCAGTCCAAAAATGCGTTATGCCGCCTTCCAAAAGAATAATGCCGCCCTCTGAGGTAACATGCCGCCCTCTGTGGTCAGTACGCCGCCCTCCAACGGTTTGCATGCAGGCAACGAAATGGCGTTATGCCGCCCTCAGAAAGAACAATGCCACCTTATGAGGTGTTATGCCGCCCTCTGTGACCGCTATGCCACCCTCTAACGGCTTGCATGCAGTCCACAAAAGATGTTGTGCCCCCTCAGAAAGAACAATGCAGCCCTTTGAGGTGTTATCCCGCCCTCTGTGGTCGATACACTACCCGCTAGCAGCTTGCATGCAGTCCACAAAAGATATTATGTCGCCCTCAGAAAGAACAATGCCGCCCTCCGAAAGAACATTGCCGCCCCCCCCCCCCCCGTGGTAAGTACGCCGCCATCTAACGGCTTGCATGCAGGTAACAAAAGGCGTTATTCCGTCCTCAGCAAGAACAATGCCGCCCTCTGTGATGTTATGCCGCCCTCTGTGGTCGATACGCCGCCCTCTAACTGTTTACATACATTTCACAAAAGGTGTTATGCCGTCCTCAGAATAATGCCGCTCTCTGAGGGGTCATGTCACCCTCCGTGATCAATACGCCGCCTTCCATTAGCAACATGCTTGGACATCGACGTCATCAGACCAATCATACTAGCTAGACGAACTACTTTTCGTGCGCCCCAGAATGCCGCCCTTGTCAGAGTGCCGCCCCTCCCTTCCGACTGAGTGCCGCCCCTCAGCTATGAAGTGCCGCTCTCTGAAGCATGTGCCGCCCCTCGGCTGAGCTCGCCTCAGAATCCCGGCGGTCGGCAACATACTGCCGACGGTGGAGGAGGTCAGGCGCGGCGACACGGTGGCGGCCCTGGTGGCCGCCTTCAGGGCCCTCCAGAGCTGAGAAGCTACACCGCGGCTCTGCCGCGGATGGAGGGGACAACAACAACATGTGCGCACAGTACGTGAAGACTTTGTGGGAATTGTGACGACAACCGACACAACGGGAAGTGGTCTCGCCGAGACCATCATGACCAAACTGGAGGAGATCGGTCGAAGTATCGACCAGGCGAGAGGACAAGGATATGACGGCGCCTCCAACATGAGTGGTAAGTTCAGTGGTGTCCATGCAAGGATTGCAGAAGTCCAACCACTGGCCATGTACACTCATTGTGCCAGCCACCGTCTGAATCTGGCCATCGCCCAAGCATGCAAGAACAAGGATGTGTCCCAGCTGATTGGACTCATCAGCAACATCAATACGTTCCTGAAAAGCTCTCCCGCAAGGACCACTAAGCTGCAGAAGCATGTGATGGACAAGTTCCCTGCAGCGCGATCGAAAAGGCTGAAGCCTCTGTGCCCCACACGGTGGGTGGAGCGGCATGACACGCTCGTGCTGTTCCACGATCTCCTGCCAGCCATCGCAGCGACGCTCGAGGAAGTGAGTCATTCGGCACCCCCTGAAGCGGCGTCAACAGCACGATGCCAGGTCCTGGGCATCAGATCGTTCAAAGTCCTTATGACACTGGCCGTCTGCGTCCATGTGTTCGGTATCACTCTGCCGCTCTCCAAAGCCCTGCAAAAACCCTCACTGACGCTGGAAGAAGGATTCTCAATGGTCGAGACGACGAAAAGGGACCTTCAGGTGCTCCGGGAAGGCTTCCAACCCGTGTTCGAGACGGCCACCGAGCTGAGCGACGCGCTGGACGTTGAGGTAGCCATGCCGCGTACCTGCAAGAAGCAGACCCAGCGGGCTAACGCGCCAGTGGAGAACGCCGAGGAGCACTACCTGCGCAACATCTTCCTTCCCGTCGTGGATGCCGTGATCAGCGAGCTGACGCGCAGGTTTCCGGACAGTTACCCTGGCAAGGACCTGCTGGTGATCCCGTCGCGACTGGGAGACGTGACAACGGTTCTGAATGCCGCCAAGACATATGAAGCCGACCTCCCGTCTCCAACATGTCTGGGGCCGGAGCTCACATCCTGGCGTGCCCGATGGGCGGAGGTCGAAGCAAGCGAGAGACCCAGTTCGGCGCTGGAGGCACTGAACCGGTGTAGCTGTAGCATACACCCGAACATTTACGCGCTCCTAAAACTCCTGTGTACGGTGCCTCTCAACAGCTGCGCTGCCGAGCGGTCATTCAGCGCACTGAAGCTGGTGAAGACTGCCGGCCGATCCACCATGGGGGAGGACCGCCTGGGGGAGGGCCTCCTCCTCTTGGAGATGCACAAAAGCATCCACGTCGACGCAGCCTCGGTTGTAAAAAAGTACCTCAAGAAGAGGGAGACCCACGCCGTCGCCCGCAGAAAGTGAGGCAGAAGGTGAGATGGCGAGAAGGACTGTCACCGATCGCGCTGCCGCGCTGTCCGGGTCGGCCTGCTGACAAATCCTGGAGGGGGGGGGGGGCCTCAGTGGACTCAGTGTGATGCGTGTCACAGAAAGGAATGTTGTTATCATAACCTACAGTGAAAAAATGTTTGCGTTTTTGTCGCTTGGAGGTGCCGGCAGTTAAGCTCAAGAACTCGAGCGTGGTTTGGAAGATTATTGGTACTGTTGGTAGAAGGTGAGATAAGGTGAGATAGGTACATATGATTTCAGTGTTCATCCTGACTTGTTGCATAACTCTTTGTCGTGCGAGCTGACACTGCGGACACTGTGGACTCGTGTGGATGACACGACTGTGTTCAATACATAACCATTTGTACCTATGCATTATGCATTTCCGATGGTATCCTCTGATAAGGTACCTCCCTTAGACGGCTGCAGGGCCTGCACTGTCAGTGATCACCCATTGAGTTGTCCTGTGATGATGTCCGCCACCTCAAAACAACGGATATGCCATTGTGTGGGACTCACACACTAAATTATCTTATTTTATTTTAATGAACTTACCAAATCAAGTGGACGAAATCCGAGGAGAAACAAATTTGGAGGGGTAGGTTGGTGCCGCCCACCTGGGCAAAAACTGCGCCCCCTAGTGCTGTGCCCCCTCCGAAATATTTTTCTGGTTGCGCGCCTGCATACATATTCGCGTATGCTTGTCCTTTACAACCTTTTATGCCTGCTTTCATCAGGGCTCGTCCTCTGTTAATCCTCTGTATGGCTGTGTGTCAACTACTGTACTAGTATGTGTGCGTTCGACAGTGCCTGATCCGCAGCTTTGCCGACACTGCATGGCAATGCTGAATCGTGTATGTGTGCAGACTCTCTGTATGTCCGTCTGTCCTATAGTGCTGACTCGCGTGTCTGTTCGGCAGTGCTGACTGATATGTTTGTCTGTCCGACAGTGCTGACTCCGACGTCTGTCTGTCCGACAGTGCTGACTCTCATGTGCCTGTTGGGCAGTGCTGACTCTGATGTTTCTGTCTGTCCGTCCGGCAGTGCCGACTCTCACGCGTCTGTTCGGTAATGCTGACTGGTATGTCTGTCTGTCCGGCAGTGCTCTCATATTGCTGTTCAGCAGTACTGACTCTCGGTGTGTCTCTGTCCGGCAATGCTGACTCTCACGTGTCTCTTCGGCAGTGCTGACTGATGTTTCTGTCTGCCCGACAGTGCTGACTCTGATGTTTGTCTGTCCCAGGCAGTGCTGACTCTGATGTTTCTGTCTGTCTGTCCGACAGTGCTGACCCAGGAGGAGTGGGTGGAGCGCCAGCGGAAGGATCGGCCGGCAGAGTTCGCTCCGCCCACCCAGTACGAGCCCCGCGGCTCAGCTCGGCGTGGTGGCGGCCCCCGCCGGCCCGAGACGCGGCCGGCACAGGAGAGTTCTGCCAACGAGCGACCGGTCGGCGGGTCGGGACCCCAGCCGACCTGGGCGGCGACACAAGGCGTGGTAGCTGCCGGGCAGAGCCAGGATGGAGGACTGATCTCTCAGGCGGACGGATCCACGGCGAACACAGGACAAACGCTGTTCAATGTGTCACAGCCACCGCCGAACATGAATCAACCTCGACCAAACCTGGGACAGTTTACGCCCGGTGCGGGTCAGCCTCCTCCCAACGTGGGGCAGCCACCTCCCAACATGGCTCAGCCTCCTCCAAACATGGTGCAGCCTCCTCTCATCGTAAATCATCCACCTCCCCATATGGCGCAGCCTCCTCCCAACGTGGGGCAGCCACCTCCCAACATGGCGCAGCCTCCCCCAAACATGGCACAGCCCCCTTCAAGCACATCCCATCCTCCCAACATGACTCATCTTCCTCCCAACACTGCCTACCCTCCTATCAGCACATCCCGCCCTCCGCCGGACCGTGACCATCAGCCGGCAGTGCGCTCCTCCGCTGCGGGCCGGCCAGTGCGCGCTCCCAGCTACCGGGCTCGTCAGGCAGCCGCTGCCGATCTCACAGACCCCGACTGCGTCCCGCCGGGGGAGGCAGAGTCGGCCGGCCGCGGCGCTGGCACGGAGGTGGCGCCCCCCGCTACCGCAGAGTACTTTGGCGGCACGAGGCGCGGAAGGAGGCAGCCGGCCCCAGCGCGACCTGATGTTGGGAGTGCTTTAGAAGCCGGGCTAGCCCTACTCAGTCAGGATACAGAGCAGAAAGACAGTAAGACGTTCGACTTGTAGCCAAAGGCCGATCGGCGGCCCGCGAACCGAAGGGCGGGCAAAAACGTGGCATGTGCTGGTGTAATTGTTTTGACTGTATCGCATGTTGCGCTTGCAAAGGTGAAACTGCTGTCTGTTATTTGTCGCCTGCTGTAGATTGTGTTAACACGTTGATGAAAGTGTACCGTATGTTGTTTTCATCGAAGTACTTTGCAAACATATTCAGGCATCAGCAAAATACATATCTGCACATTCACAGACATAGCGCAGCTCAAACGTGACTGATTTAAGTTAAACTATGTATTTACATGGACATGTGGAAACACAACCTAACGACAAGTCGGCAGCAGCTGTCTCCCGACTAGATAAGAACACTTTGTAAAACCTAGCAACCCGTTAGTCCCATGGAATGCCTCACCGTGGCCTGGGTTACTAGCGAGCTAACGAAAGAAGGCGAGCAAGGGTAGTCCAAACGTGCACTGGACTGGGGGGGGGGGGGGGCAGGGGTCGGCGGTGCCGCCGCCGCTCAGATGGCCAATCCGAACACGGAGACGATGCAGTACATGGTCTTGTTCTCCCAGCGGACGGTGCAGCTGCCGTCGGTGCTGTTGTCCCAGTAGCAGGAGCTGGCCGTGTGCAGGCCGGCGCCAGTCTTCTGCATGATAACGCTGGTCACTGCAGAGGAGAGGGGAGCGGTTAGAGAGGGGAGGGGAGAAGTGCTGGGGCGAACACCGGAGGAGCTGGAAAGGTCAGAAGGGGGGGGGGAAGCATTCAGGAGGGAACAGGGAGCAGAGCGGAGAGAGGGAGCAGTCAAAGAGAGTAGAAGGTCCCACACGGGGAGAGAGAGAGAGAGAGAGAGAGAGAGAGAGAGAGAGAGAGAGAGAGAGAGAGAGAGAGAGAGAGAGAGAGAGAGAGAGAGAGAGAGAGAGAGAGAGAGAAATTACCAGGGGCGGCGCTGACCTATTGAAAGTAGGTAGGCACTTGGTAGGTGAGACAGAAAAGCTGAATACAGAATAGGTAAAAGGGAGGAAAAGACAGCCTTATTGCTCAGTCGGGATGCGTCAAGCAGCGACAGCAGCGTCATCTACAAAAACCATTAACTTAACTAGAGCTTACACGTCTGCCGCCAGAGGGAAGCTAGTGTCCCAGTAGGAGTCTAGTTCGTCCCATATAATTTTTAAGAAACAATAGAATAACACAACAGGCATAACAACGCTAGGTTCCCTAAGCTAATGATAAAAATTGATAACGTAAAATGTGTTTTATTCTATGATAAATGGACTTAATAAAAAGTTCAGTTTGAAAGCTAGAAGGTAGCACCTAGTCGATGTGCCGACCATCTAAACTTTTTCTACCAAAAGGCTCAATAGCCTCAACATGGCAATAGTCGATAATCTAGTAGGACGAGGTAGGCACAATTAGGCAAAGGTTTTTGTCAACTTGTTGTTATAATACGATCTTTGATCGACGTTTTTGAGAAGTTTAGGCAATTTTCTTTCGTTTCAACCCATTTTGAAAAACGGAAAGCAAAAGATATTTAACAAAAGCAATCAAATAATCAAAAGCCACAGTCTAGTGAGGGTGTAGACGCAGGGGAGACGACAAATGACGTAGGCACTGCCTACCTTGCCTATATGGGAGAACCGCCCCTGGAAATTACAGAAGAAAAAGTAATGGCTCCTGCGCCCATCGAGATCTGCCATGCCAGAGTTTGTCCCGAAATTGTCGGAGAACGGACGAAGCATGTGGCATTTTAGGTTCGCCAGTAAGAATATACCAACTTATCAGGGACACTTTCCAGTGTTTGACCATTCAGAGATGTTCAAGCAAGGGATGTTACACACGTTTATTATCAAAAGCATATGGCAAGCCTTCTTTGTAATACCGAACTCACCAATATATTTGAAGGGTTTCTGAAGCTTTGTCAAGGCACCAAGGCAGGATTCCACGACGCTGGATGCCCACTGGTTGACTTTTGCTTGCTGGTATGTATTGCCACCAATGGTGCTCTCTACTGCTTCTTTGATTACGTTGCTCACTTCATCTACCACAAACTGGGTCTGAAATTGGCATACATATTGGTCACTTTAATGGTGGGCCCTGTTTCACCGGTGATAGCAGCACGCTACTATCAAATTGCGCGAGCTGACGTAATGTGATGAGGTCACACTAATGACGTTTCGTGTAATCCGTGAGCTGCGTTTGGAACAGACTTTCTGTCTCGTTGAATTGCGTTTGATACATTTGCTTGATTGCACGGCCGTGAAGGTGCTGCAAGCAATATTTGATGACATCACACAGATTGACGGCGTCATGGCTTGTTGATGTTTCCATGGAAACCCAATTTGACACGTGTGATAGCAGCATGCTGCTATCACCGGTGAAACAGGGCCGTGGAGGCATTGTTCTCATGGCAGATTAGGATTTTAACCCTCCAATGAGTGTAACTTGGAGAGGAGTAGGATAAATATGGGATAACTCATGTTAAAAAGAAAAGTTACAAACACAATTCACATTGCATGAGGATCAATCACTTCACACCATTCACATTGGTTTTATAAAATTGTAATAGCCAGTAATGGTTTCTTCCCTACCTGGACACTGACTGACACATAAAATTGCAGCATTGGTCATACTGGACTGGATTGTGATTTGATAGCATCCATCATTTTGTATCATCAAAACACAATAAGTTTCAAATGCATGCCATTCCCAAAAGTCATTACAAATGAGTTTTATAGCTAATGTTGGTTGTGGCAGTGGCCAGCATACCATCACTTCTTTAACAAACTATCTATTAACAGTTGCAACACACATACATTCATTTCATGCCTTGACATAGAGAATAGCTTCAAAATCGAAAAGCAGTTCAAGAAAGGAAAGTTTCCTGCAAAATTCAAATCAACTTCATCTGTAATGCATGAAAGCCTTACCTCTTCAGATTGATCCTCCATCTTTACAGATGGGTGAAACACTACGATCTGACGAAGCCAACAAAATATTCAACACTATTTCTATGACAGGGAAAATGTCATATGAGTAGGCTGACAAACGCCCTGACGGCCCTGACCCTTCAGAGTTCTGCTATTTTGCAACACCAACAGCTAAATGAGTCAACAATCCTTATGTTTAGTAAATTGTTCATGTTAATAGTACAGGCGAATGTTAGCAAATACTGCATGTCAATTTGTTGATATTCCTGCTCATACAGAAAATGTAGTGAAAATACTCCAAATTGAACACAAATCTGCGTCACTACTCGAAATAAGTGCGCAATCCCACCACAACTCCAGTGTATTGCATTTATGGTATTGTATTGCCGGCCTTGGTATTGCCTGCCGAACGGTTGGTGTTTGGATTTTATGATTGCTTAGGCTAAAACAGATTTGTGGCTCCTAGGCCCTGTTTTGTATCGAGAGTGAATTGCTTTTTTATTGTTCTGTTTCATACAGAGCAAGTAGGTAGGTAAAGAAGGTTGAATTTCCCAGCATCTCTTTATGAGAAATTGTTTATTTTCATCTTCATCTTGATCTTGATCTTGCACAGTGCACTCTGTCAGCAGGTAGGTAAGTATTCGTCATAATTATTTAGGTAATCAAATGTTCAATTGAAAATGAAGAATGCTTCTGATGTCATGCCAAATTAAAATGAGAGGGTTTTCGGTTTGCACAATGCTCGTATTTTTTTTTTTTTTGTTAATGCTTGCCCATAACGTACATACAATAAAAATAATGTAATCATTTACTTACTAACCACACTTGTATAGACAAACACCCATGCCAAAATACAATTGTTGAACAATTATTAAACATCACCTCTTTTTATTCTTAGCAGCCTATTTATTGTAATAATCTGCAACCAATCAAATGCTTACAGAAAGTGATCTGACCAAGTTTCGTCTTTGACAGCACAACTTCACCACGATGCGGCGGCGTGCGGGCGTGGGTGCCATCCAGAAGCACCGCGTCACCCAGGAGAAGTACCAGGCGAAGCGGGCTGAGCTGGAGGAAGGTCAGGTGGAGGAGTTGAGCCGGCAGCTGGAGACGTTCCGCGCCCGTCTGCAGGAGTTCGCCACCCGGCACCGGAACGACATCCGGCGCGACGCCACCTTCCGGCGCCAGTTCCAGGAGATGTGCGCCGCCATCGGCGTCGACCCGCTCGCCTCGGGCAAGGGCTTCTGGTCGGAGCTGCTCGGCGTCGGCGACTACTACTACGAGCTGGCCGTGCGCGTGGTGGAGGCCTGCCTGGCGGCGGCGCCGCGCACCGGCGGCCTCATGCCACTGGACGAGCTGCGGCGGCGACTGGCACGCGCCGCCGGGCCCGGTCAGCCCGAGCTCAGTCAGGACGACCTGCTGCGCGCCATCGGTAAGCTGAAGGTGCTCGGCACAGGGTTCCAGGTGGTGCGCCTCGCCGGCGACCGGCACCTGGTGCAGTCGGTGCCGGGAGAGCTGAGCGGCGACCAGACGACCGTGCTGGAGCGCGCGCAGGCGCAGGGCGGCCACGTGACGGCCTCCGAGCTTGGCTGGACGCCGGCGCGGGCCGAGCGCGCGCTCGACCAGCTGGTGCAGGACGAACTCGCCTGGGTGGACGAGCAGACCGGCGGAGAGGTCGAGTACTGGTTCCCCAGCCTCTTCCCGGCGCTGAATAATGGTGAGGGCTGAAATGGGGATGTTACATATTGTCACTGGAGCCGGCGGGACTCTGTTTACTCTTGGGAGGGGGTTTATTCAGTTTTGAGGACTGACTGTGTGGAACTGTGGGCTGTATCACGCAGCATGTAAGAAGTATCGTCATCTTGTGCTAGCCTTGTGTATCGTGCTCGATTTTCTTTATAAGACTTTGTGTATTGCTTATTTTATGCGTTTGCATTTATCACTGTCAAACGCAAAGAAAAGAACAGACAGCAATCAGCTTCCCATACAGCCATTGCCGATTAGTGCTGTGTTGGTGAGAATATGAGTGAATATGATTGCTAATGAAGTATATCTCTTCTTTTTTGTTAACATGTTACTGTAATCCGCAAATTCAGAAACGTTCATTCTGAACACCGTTTGTTTTAGGGCCTTGACCGTTTGTTTTTCAGGTCGATCTTGTTGTTTTGAATAGCTCGTGCTCTTATCTGAATGAAAGTCGCCTCAAATCACGATGCGTTTTTGTCAACCGCATGCGAATTTCGATAGTAAGCATGCTGCAAAAAGCTCTCCCCCGATAGTTAAGACTGGCCAAGTCGAAAGCTTCACTGTCCCTCACTGCTCGTTTATTTAGCTCTGCGTGCACCCCGGGGCAGCTCTCGACCGGAAGGGATGGCGTGATGTGTGGCTAGTACCGGCCGTGACGTGGGGCCGTCACTGGGCGTGACGCCGCGGTAACGGTTCGGCACGTGACGGCCGGGCCGGGCCGGGACGGAGCTCGCTGTCCGCGTCCCACCCTGCGCGTGGGCGCGGTCCGACGGCTCCGCCCTTGTGGACGGGCTGTGGTCTTCAGAGATGGCTTCTTGTTCCTGTTTACGGAAAGAACTGACCGCGCGTGAGCGCAGTGCTCGAGAATCAAATGAGTGCTTAGTGCTGGAACATCCGGAATATCGAAGTTCGAACTGCATTGCTCTAAACGTTATGGGATTACCTGTTTGGTAACTGGAAACAACTCGGGCGTTGCCGGCTGCGAAATGTTAACCAAGCGACATGATTAAGACGAATCGTTAGGTGCAGCTCAGACTACCACAGTTAAACAGGCTGAGCAGTTGGGGATTCATCAGTTTATTCAGCAGAAACGGAGGCAAGAAAAGAAACGGTAGGCAAGAAAAGAAAGCGTTAAGATAGCGTTATTATCGCATTTATCAAATATTAATACAATTAGCAAACAACGTATATGTGTAAGCTTGTCATGCTTCGCGGTTCACGTTCCTGACCGAATTTGACCCCAAGTTATTCAAGGGCGTCTTAGTCATCTTTGCTCTCATTCATGTTCGTCCGTTCATTTTATATTGTACGTTGCTGCACAAAAACACATCCCATCACTCTGTCCTCAGCCCTCTCAAGCTCTACCCCCCGACTCACTACTCTGAGTCGTTACCAAGCAACCGTTGGCATGACAACCAATCTGGGCACTCCGATTGGCTAAGGTTTCCCGCCATACCGGGATCACGGATTATGAAGGATGCTCAGTTGCAATTGCATGCAACTGGCCTCGAGGCACCTCTCCCGAGGTGGATCCACAATCCACCTACATCCCCCCATCGCCAAATCAAGACCTGGGCTCGTGCTTGAAGAGACGGGCATGCCTCGCAAAGGCCTCATACGCACACAAGCACGATTAATTTAGCATGTAACACACTGCTCGTTAGCGCACAGCTCGCGAACGAAAACGATCCATTGTGCAGAGCATATTGCACAGCTCTGGCGTACGAGCGGCGGACGCGATACATTATTAACATACGCGACAGAAAATACACAAGTGGCATACACAAGCAGTTCATAGCACATGATCACACCCCTCGAACACCCTTTTGATTGGCTCGCTACCGATATGGGATCCCTCTTAATCGGCATTGGCTGCGCATGACTCCAACCAGTCGGGGTGCTTACGAGTTAACAGGAATCATGATTTATTGCCGCTGTGACTCCGTGCCAGCTTAACCCTCGCCCATGTAGGGGGGGAGTTGGTGCAACCCCCCCCCCCCTGAGGCTTTTCGGAAATAGTGCAAAAACGGCGGCGCTGCGCGCCGCCAAATTTTGGGTACCTTATGGGGCAAACCTTGCGCATCTTTTGATAAAAAAAAATTGACCGGGTCATGTCAGGTCACGGAGTTATGACGTCACAAAGGGAACAGCCTCCGGCGGGATTTTCACAAACTGAGTGCCAACGCCCGAGGTTTCCTGCCGGTGGTACGGACATCGGTTGATGGATCGTGATGAAACTTCCCATGCATGTTGGGGCAAGTATTGGCTATCATATGGTATAAGAAACTTGACCGGGTCAGGTCAGGTCACGGAGCTATGACGTCACAAGAGGAACAGCGTCCGGTACTATTTTTGAAAAGCGCCCGAACCACTATTTTGCTAATTCTTGTCACCTCAATGGGAATATGCAGCAATATTAGCTTCTATAGGGAGCAAATGGACCTCCCAAATCAAAAAATACAATCAGATTTCAAAAATTTAAATTTTGATTTTTCGAATTTCTGCCGCCGACTGTGACCTTGCCGACTTCCGGCGCTCCCAACGCGCCATTTTTAGAGCTAGGGAAACGAAATACATACCAAACGTTAGAGAATTGATCAAGGAACACGATAGTGAAGGTTTCAAGTCGATATCTCCCACCGTTTTGCCGCAATCGCCGCGGAAAGTTGAAAAAGTCTATTTTTTCCGAAAATTTGACCTTTGACCGGTCAAAAGTAGGTCAAATGTTGACCTAGGACCACAAAATATACCACCAATCGCGAGATCTCGGCGAGAGCAATCCGTTGGTCTTTTTCGCTAAGCTCTACGACGCTCCGTTTTCAAACGCCAAGGGGGGGTCGCACCAACCCCCCCCCCCCTGCATGGGCGAAGGTGGCAGATCGCCGTTTACGGGCGAGGGTTAATGGCGCTCACACAAGAAAACTATGTACATAATACACATATGTGTCAAACGACTCGGCTACAAACTCACATTGGGTTGAAGCAGTCTGGAGGATGTCGCTGGCGCGTCGATCTCCGGGGTGTCGGCACGGGCAACGGCGACCTTTTAACCTGTTGGGCTCCAATTACCTGCGAACCAACTGACGTACTCGGGTCCCGCTCAGATCCTGAGGACCGGTCATCAGTCTCAGCCGCCGTCTGATCCTCGGACTCGACCTCGTTCCCCGAGTCACTTACCGTGGCCTGACTCGTCCCAGGTGCACCCGCAGTGCTGCCGGTACACGGTCCGCCAACGGGGTCGCTGGGCTCTGGATGGGTAGCGCTCAACAATCAACATCTGATTGTCAGTGCTTACCGAAACGCTCCTATCCCTTACCACAGCTCTCTCGCTCGCTGTCTGGGGTGTGCGACGCCGGGTCCTAGCTGTTGGACTTAGCCGGTTGTGGTGCACTATGATTGTCCTTCGTGAGCCCTCTAGCTGCACCCGATAATTCATGTCGCTCACTTTGGCCTTAATGATAGCGGGTTTGTATGGCCGGATAAACTTATAGTACTGCCCTCGCGGTATACTACTCCTCGGTGGAGCAGAACTCTGTCTCCCGGCTCATAAGTAAACTGGTTCAGTTTCGTCTCATAAATGGCCTTATTTTTGGTGTGACTCGAGTTGAACGACTGCAGCGCCTCGGTGTGCATTTTCTTGAGACTGGCTTGCAAATTCTCAAAGTATTCGATCACCGTTTTAGACCGATTCCGTATAGGGCTGTCCAAGCTGATTTCCCCTGGGAGCCTGACACTTCTCCCGAACATCAATTCATGTGGGGAAAAACCTAGTGAACGGTGGACCTGTGACCGATATCCCAGCCAGCATCAGAAGGGGCAAATGCTCATCCCACTTGTCATGGTCACTCGTCTCCAGATACTTTGACAACATCGCCAAAATGGTTCTGTTGACCCGTTCCACTACTCCGTTGCCCATTGGGTGACAACTGCTGATCGTTGACCGTTCTATTCCCAACATATCGCATGTTTTAGTTAAAACGTCGCCCACGAAAGAACCTCCTTTGTCAGAGTGAATTCGCGAGGGTAACCCGAATCTGCTAATGAAATCATTCACCAGCACCCTAGCTACACTGAGTGCCGTGAGATCGCGCAGAGGGTATAGTCGACTACAGAATGATGTTCCACTTTTCACAGGCAATTATTTGCCTGGAGTGGTAGGCTGTGCCGCATCACACGGGCTGAGTTCACAAATTATAGCTTTGTCCCAATGCTCACAATCGACACGCTTAATTGCGTGATAAACGGTACAACTTAGCAATCCGGTCAACTGATAGCTTCTGAGAAGTGGAACATCATTGTGTAGTCGACTATACACCTCACACCACCGAGAGAAGTGGTCAACAACGACTAAAAGATGTTTATTGCCGTTTGTAGTGCACGGCAGCCCCGAGAGAATATCCATTCCCACCACCTCCATTGGTTGGGATGCGGACAACTGGCCTAACGAAGCTCTCGGTGCAGGGACTGGAGGGTTTCTCGCCTCGCACCGCTCGCATTGATCGCAGAACTCCTGCGCATCCCGCCGAACGGATGGCCACCACATCCGAGCTCTGATTTGTGCGGTCAATTTATCAGCTGCAAAATGGCCACCTGACGGGCCACCGTGCATCGAGCTGAGCACCTCCCGTACCAGTGTCTGTGGTACCACCACCTGCAACTGATTCTCATCTGAGGGACGCCTGCGATAAACCCGGTACAAAACGCCGCCCAGTAACCGCAATTTGGCCCAGTGCGAAAGGTAGGGCACGCTGTGCTTTAACGCTTTCTTATGCGGCTTCTGTCCCCGCGAGAGGTGGTCGGTAATCTCCGCTATCGCCGCGTCGCTTTGCTGTTCATTCTTAATGAAACTCAAAGACCAGTCGAGACAGTGAATCATGCGGCGACACTGATCCTCTTCGGTCTGTGTCGCGACGTCAGCTGTCGGCTCGGGTCGGCGGCTAAGGGCGTCTGCTGCAGTATTCTCCTTCCCCGGTTTGTAAGCAATGCTAAATGAATACTGACTGAGTGTCTCTAACCAGCGCGCCAGCATCCCTGAAGGGTTTTTGAATTGCATCAGCCACTGTAGGGACGCATGATCACTCCGTAGCGAAAAACGTTTTCCAACCAAATATGGATGGAACAATCGCACAAAGACAACAACACTTAACAGCTCCTTTTTAGTGACACCGTAATTTTTCTCGCTTTTTGACATTCGTCTGCTACCATAGGCTATGAGTCGCTCCTTTCCATCCTGTCGTTCCAGTAGCACGGCTCCTACCGCGTCATCTGAAGCGTCACACTCTAAAATGAACTCCCCTGCATCCTTGTCGAAACGGGGCAAGGCGAGAACTGGTGCGCTGCACAGCGCGTCCTTTAGCCGGTCAAACGCTGCCTGAGCATCATTGCTCCAAATGAATCGTACGTCTTTGTTTGTCAGACGGAAAAGAGGGGCTGCTAGGGAAGCGAACCCTGATATATATTTCCG